AATCTTTTGAACAATTTTACAACCACTTTCGTAAATAGTTTCTAAGAAATAACTATGGAAACCTTATGTTTTATTACTAAATTTTAAAAATTTTAAAAATTTTTAATTTTATTTATAATTATAAAAAAAAATTTAGAAAAATTAAATAAAAAAATAAAAAAATCGACACTTAGGCGCTGATTAATCAGCGCGCCCCCTTGCCGCCTAGGGGCGTCTAACGTTTTTTGCAACATTGACTGCGTATCACAAAAGGCTAATAAAGACAAGAAAGGGAGATCCATGATACCAGTGTTGTATTTTGAGATGGCATGCACGCTAATGGGTAAAGCTGTGACTTCACAATGAGTGGGGCTGATAGTTAATGCCTATTAACATAAGTGGGATTAAGAATTTTCAATTAGTCATATATCAATGATTTTACTCAAATGAGCACTATAACACCCCCGATTTTAACATAAAACAAGGCCATTGTACTTAAAAGTTAGGGATGTCAATCGGGCCAGCCCACTCGGTTTCGGGCTAGCCTTGTCGGGTTGTCGGGCTAATCGGTTCGGGATAATCGGTTTATTAATATTTTATTCTCGAGTTCGGTTTGGCCCTAACCCTAAACTTTGGGTTGTCGGGCTAATCGGGCATGTTGAACCATCTGAACTAAAATTAAAAACTGAAAGTGAGTACCAATATTTAGAGTAGAGATGACAATGGGACGAAGCGGGTGTGGGTACAGGAAGTATATTCCCGGTCTCCGTCGTTAATGAAAAATTGAAAATAGTCCCTATCTACGTTCCCGCGGAGAATTTGACAGGGACGAAGAATTCCGTCCTCATCAATTTTTAGTCAAAATATTAGATTAATGTTTTTTTAAATTTTAAAAAACTAAAAACTTAAGTTTTAATTTAAATTATATATATATATATATATATATATATATATATATATATATATATATATATATGTTTATTTTTAAGGAATAAGGGTCAAATAGGCCATCGAACTGCACCCAATAATACAATTAGGTCATCGAACTTTAAAAAGCTACAATTGGGTCCCTGAACTAACCAATTCTATTCAATTAGTCCAATTTGTAGATTTTTCAAGTGGTTAGCAGGTCACCAATTTTCAAAATATTTTTTTAAAATTATTATTTAATATTAATAATTAAAATTAAAAAAAAAAAAACACAAACCAGATCGCCGGAGACGAAGATAAGTTATCTTCGTCTCCATAGCCGGAGGCGAAGAAGTTATCTTCGTCTCCGGCCATGGAGACGAAGAGTTTCTTCGTCTCCAGCTATGGAGACGAAGATAACTTCTTCGTCTCTGGCCGGAGATGAAGAAGTTAACTCCGTCTCCATGGCCGGAGACGAAGAAGGTTTCTTCGTCTCCGGCGGAGACGATAACTTCTTCTTTTTTTCTTTTTTTTTTTTTTTAAATTTTGAATAATTATTTTAAATAATAATTTTTTTAAAATATTTTAAATTAGAGGTGACCTGATAACAACCTGAAAAACCTACAAATTAGACTAATTGAATAGAATTGGTTAGTTCGGGGACCTAATTGTAGCTTTTTAAAGTTCGGTGGCCTAATTGCATTATTGGGTGCAGTTCGATGGCCTATTTGACCCTTATTCCTATTTTTAATTATAATAATTATTCCATGTATGTTAGGTTTCACATCACTTCTATAATAAAAAATAGTTTTCAATAGTTCGGGTTGTCAGGCTAGCCCTTTTAATTTCGAGCTAGCCCTATTGGGCCACCGGGCTAATCGGTTTCGGGCTCGTCGGGCTAATGTGTTTTATCGGGCTAGCCCGTTCGGGCCATAGCCTTGTCGGTTTCGGTTTTATCGGGTTAGCCCATAGGGTTCGGGCTAAATTGACATCCCTATTAGGAGTAGAGATAAAACTAACATTAAGGTATAAAGACTGCGGAAGCTAAACTGATAAATCAGAAGATGTCACGCCACACCTAACTACAAAGCCAGATGCACAGGCTAAAGTCACAACTTAAATATTCAAAACCATAACATAGAATTCATAAGTTCAACTCTACTGGCTCACAGGCCTCAACAACTAACTAAGAAATAATAAGTGAGCAACGCTAATCTAATTCGTCTTCTAGCGTGCTCGAATGAACTACTCATCACCTGGAAAAATATAAGGGGTAGCACCCGTTAGCGAATAATGCTAAGTAACCTACCACTACTTGTGGAGTACAATATAATATAGATATAGGAAAACCATTTGAGACTTGGAATACAAAATATACAGTCTTTTAAAACGAGGAATAGGAATAACATAACTCATAATGGAATCACTCTCAATCAAAGATCGACATCACACAGTCACTCAATAGATCAATAAGAATGACAGAAGCAACATACTCATCAACAAGATACATCATACGATAATCAATCAAGGAATAACATTAATCATATTCATAAGCAATGAAAGTCAAGGATCACATTCAATGACACGTTCCAACATTATGCCCTGTTCCAACCTTGTATCAACAGGCCAGCCTTATTTCAGTTCAAACTTGTATCTCCAAGTGTCACCCTGTACACCGAGTCCAACCTTATCCCTCCTAGGGCCTTAGCCTCCCCACCTGTATCCGCCAGCATATACACTCATCTCACAGGCATACGCAATGTCATTATAATAGTACTAATCACGTGATAATATACCACCAATCATGTGAGCAAAGCTCAGTAAAATTACCACCAATCTCACAGTAATACACAGTCATTGTCATAGAGGATTGGGGCTCATCAATAGCCCAATCAAGTATCAACTAACGTGTACAACATAAATACAAGATCATATCAAGGGATTCAATCGATAAATCTCAATGGAAGACATGAACCAACTCATACTAACATCAACAACAACATAGCTAGCATGTACATCAGAAGGATAAACATAACGGTTCAATCGAACATCAATAACTTCACATTAATCCAACGAATCACAAAGTTGGACCATAAGCACGATTCAAGACTCATAATCCTATCATGGATACTTAGGACACCGTTCTAGACGTATGAAACATCAAAGGAGACACACAAGTGCACAACGATTCAACAAAACAGAGGCCAAAGCACAACGTACTAGTGGGCGGAACGGTGGGTAGACAACCACCCGCCACTCTCCCTTACAGGTACCAGCGGGTGGAACCACGGGTGGGCCCCTACCCGCGACACCCCCCGCTGGCAGAACACCTTCCACCCGCGGGTAGAACGGCGGGCAGACAACCACCCACTGTTCCTCCCGCGGGTACACGTACCTAGCAGACAAATCCACTTCAGGGAATAACATCAACATTGCCAAGTTCAAGTCCAAAACATCCAAAACCTTACATTCAACAAAGATAGAACTTGAGCACATGAATAGCTCAATGATAGCATTTATGAACCCTAGATACAAGCTCTAAACATGCATAAACACAATATTATGCATCAAATCACTCACAACATCAAGAGTAGCAAGAAATTCATATTATCAAGTAGAAAATAGGTTTTGTAGCACATGAGTTACCTTTGTAGCCTAAAGAACACCTTCTTTTCACTACTTAGACTTCTTCTTGAAGCTCATCTTCTACAAGGTCTTTCCAACACAACCAAAACCACAACTTTAGATAAAGATAAAGATAATCTAACTAAAAGCACTGTCTAAGCTCAAATCTTACCCTTCCTAGAGCCTTGGTGGATGAAAGTTAGGATCTTGGGAAATTTCTTGCAAGGTTGGGGAAGATTTTGGTTTGGCTTGGAGAATAAGCTAAACCTCTAGAGAGGAGGTAGAGAGGATTGTAGAGAGAGATGGAAAAGTGGAAATGATTGGGGATTCTCTTGGGTTGGGTAGAATCCTTAGGTTAAAATCTGAAAAAGTTGCAAGGTGGACCCCTTTGAATCACTTTAAGGCTAGGAAAGAATTAAATATTAGGTACAAGGCATAAGGCACTATGTACACCTTGTTGACTAATGATTTTAGTAAATTTTAGGTCCTCTGACTATTTTAATAAGGTATTAAGGAGAGTGTTACAAGGCAAGCTTATAATTAATTAAATAATTAATTCCATTCAAGGGATGGATTTTCGTGGTGTCACACTCTCTCCCCCTAACAAGAAGCTTCATCCCCGAGGTTTGGGTACAACGATGTTCAAAAGGGAACAACGATTGATTGGCAAGTGTATCGAGGGTTTAAGGCAATTTTCAAACAAGGGTTGAAGTATACAGGTTTCCACCAATTGGCCAACACTACTAAGACTAAGTCCAAATCAAACCACTTACCCATAACTAAATCTAAACAATAAAAACAACAAACCACTTTGGTACCTTCGGTGAAGAAGTAGGGGTAGCGCTCCCGCATGCCATCCTGCAACTCCCAAGTTGCTTCTTCGATTCCGTGGTTGGACCACAACACTTTCACCATCTTCACTGACTTTCTGCAGGTTTCCCTCACCTTAGAGTCCAAGATTTTGATCGGACTTTCCTCATAAGTCAAGGTTTCATCAAGCGATATTACTTCTGGTTGGAGCACATGAGTAGAGTCATGTACATACTTCTTCAGCTGGGACACATGGAACACATTATGCACATGCTCTAGTTCCATGGGTAAAGCCAAGCGATAAGCTAGATTTTCCACTCTTTCTAAGATCTCATAGGGACCGATAAACTTGGGGCTTAACTTCTCTTTTTTCGCTAACCACATCACTCCCCAGGTGGGAGGGATCTTCAACCACACCTTATCCCCAACCTGGAACTTCGCTACTTTTCTCCTCAACTCGGCATATGATTTTTGTCTATCTTGAGCCATCTTCATTCTTCCCTGAATGTACTTGACCTTTTCCACCGTGTCTTGTAAGTATTGAGGTCCCAAAGTCACGGGGTTGACCAAATCCTACCAGCACAACGGGCTTCTACATTTTTGTCCGTACAACGCTTCATAAGGTGCCATTTGGATACTTGCGTGATAACTGTTATTATACGAGAACTCGATCAAATCTAAGTGTTCTTCCCATAAGGTGCCACGTTGTCTTTCCAAAACTCGCACTTAGAGAGTTTGGCATACAATTGTTTCTCTCTCAAAGTTTGTAGAACAATCCGTAGGTGTCTCTCATATTCTTCACTATATCGGGAGTAAACCAAGATGTCATCGATAAACACGATCACGAAATCGTCCAAGTGAGGTTTAAACACACGGTTCATCAAATCCATGAATACTGCCGGGGCATTAGTCAAACCAAACAGCATTACTGTGAACTCATAATGCCCATAACGAGTCCGGAAAGCCATCTTTGGAATGTCCTTATCGGCTACCTTTAGTTGATGATAACCCGACCTTAGATCAATCTTAGAAAACATGCCTGCCCCCTTAAGTTGGTCAAATAAATCATCAATCTGTGGAAGAGAGTACTTATTCTTGACTGTCACTTGATTCAATTCTCTGTAATCGATACACAACCTCATGCTCCCATCCTTCTTCTTGACGAACAACACTGGAGCTCCCCACGGTGAAGTACTAGGATGGATGTACCCCTTGTCCAATAAGTCTTGCAGTTGTTCCTTCAGTTCGTGCATTTCCTTGGGTGCCATTCAGTAGGGGGTCTTAGAGATAGGTGTCGTTCCTGGCACCAGATTGACAGTGAACTCTACCTCCCTTGATGGGGGCATACCGGGGATTTCCTCGGGAAAAACGTCTAAAAATTCACACACCACCAGTATCGCTTGTGCCTTATCTTCTTTGACTTCCAAATCCTCTACCGTACACAAGAATGCTTTGTGCCCCTTTTCCAAGTACTTCTTCATCCTGAGCATCGAGATTAGTTTAACTTCGGGTTCCTTGATGGTACCCCAGTATGATACCCTTCTCCCACTTGGTCCCTTCAGGACGATCTTCTGTTCCCCGCACAGAATTTGAGCCTTGTATTATCCCAACCAATCCATTCCTAGTATTACTTCCACACCATCCAACCCGAATTAGATTAGGTTACTAGGAAAGTCCTCCCCACCAATTGTAATCTTGACATCCTCAAACAGACGGTTACATGGCTTGACCTCTCCCGAAGCCACTTTGACGTTCAACTTCACTTCCACACTAGCGGACAAGTCCAATTTCTCGACAAACTTTGAAGCTATGAGCGAATTGGAAGCCCCTGAATCAAACAATACCGTAGTCGGTATTGACTGCACCAGAAAAGTCCCGGTCACAACGTCACTGTCTCCAACGTGACAAATCTGCCTTAGGATCCCGAACTAGAATACTACCGATTTGTTTTCGGCTCCGTGGCAGTGGCGTTGTAGCCTTACTAGGGCTAATCTTCGAGGAAGTGCCACCTCTAATCCAACGTTCAACGGCTCCAGCATTGCTAGAGGAATTGGATACCCTCGGTTTTTTAGGAAACGGATTCACCCTGATATCGTTTCTCTTTTTACTTAGTTCCATCCTCACTTGTTGATCCTGCTGCACTCGAAAGAGGTCCGCTGCTCTAGTATAGGCTTCGTTGAGCGTCCTTAGCTTGAACACCGTTAGAGATTTCCTCGCCTCATAATTGAGTCCGGCCACAAACTTCTCTACTTTGGCGACTTCGTTGGGGCCAAAATGCGTGCAAAGCGAGCTAACTCGAGAAATTGTTTGTGGTACCCTACCACAGATGAGGCCCCTTGCTTCTAATGGAGAAACTCCTCGTACATTGCCGCCCGAACATGAGAAGGGTAAAAATGTTCCCAAAGCTTGTCTTTCAAAGCTTCCCAACCGAACCCCAGTTCTTCTTGGCACACCGGTCCCTCGTGGACCCACCACAAATCGGCCTCATGGCTGAAGTAGAAAGCTGCTAGCTCAACTCGGCGTTCTTCGGGATACCCAACTACGGTGAAGATCACGCCACACCTAACTACAAAGCTATATGCATAGGCTGAAGTCATAACTTAAATATTCAAAACCATAACATAGAATTCATAAGTGATTGTACTATATTTGCAAACAAATAATACCCAGAGTATCGGGTAATTATATCGATCCACAGGGAAGTGGGGTATTAAGCACCAATTACTAATTTATTCTATAAAGTTAATCTTATCGAAAGACATGTATGGTTGATTAAAATAAAACTAATGTAAAAAGCAAGATTCAGGTTTTGAAATCAATAGAGAGGAGATGAGATTCCTGGGATTCAAGTATTTAATCACCTAGTGCCAAATCTTAAGGACAATATTAAATCTAGGTATAACAGGTGTGAGAATGCAAAGATGGTATAGAGCCACTCTCGTAGTCCCTAACACTAGTGAATATCCACTTTCGTGATATAAACACCCAATAAAACAAGAACAAGCATTCATAATTAATTCATAACTAGTACCATCTCTCGATGTGCAATAATCAAGAATTAATTTATTCCTTAACTAATTTTCCCTTTCTCAAGGTGCAACAATTAAGTGCAATTGTGTGTGCCCTAAATTATGCACAACTCTCGTTGTGACACAAAGAAGCAAACGAAACAAGTAATTACGGCCATTTAACTACTAGCAACAACAATATAAAACACAATTGCAACACAAGTTATAACCCAAATAATAATATATTAAAGAATCTGAGAGCTTAGACACATAGGTTCATAAACACTTTTACCCAAGAATCTTTAATTGAATTTAGCTAAGCATGACTAAATTATACATAGCAAATATAATAAAAGAATTACAAATTATCAAAAAGAGTACAAGATTGAACCAGACAATTTTCTCATATCTCCCTAGTCTTCTTTTTGATTCCCAATATAACTTGTGACTCTTGATTTCTCTCCTCTTTGTCTCCAAAGATCTCTAAATAATTATTAGGGTTGAGGAAAGGGGGATTATATAGTATGTACAAGGCTAGAACCAATCCTGGTATGAAGAGGGAAATTCCGCGCGAAAACGGGCTAAATCGCGTCTGGGCTGCGTCGAGCCATGTCTCCAGTTACTCGCCCACGTTCTTGACACGTCGACTTATGGCGTAGATTTTTTATATTGCGAAGCAATGCTGCTCGAGCTCGACGCGTGAGACCTGTTGATCTCGACCGTTTTGCTTTCTATAATTTTTTGACGCGTCGAACCTGCTCTGCACACACTTTTCGGTCCATTTTGACTCCCAATTTGTCCTCGAACTTCCCTTGCTTATAACTTTGACCTATAATGGTTCAAAAACACTAACAAACACCGTAAAACAGTCAAAACAAGTGTGAACCATAACTAAATACTAAAACGAAGGATTGTGTGATTAAATCACCAAAATCATGACCCTAAGCCTAACAAATATAGCTAAATCAATACTAAAAATGTGCACAATTAGGCTCACATCAATTAGTTCAATTCTACTAGCACACAAGCCTGAACAACTAACTAAGAAATCATAAGGGAGCTACATTAGTCTAATCTGTCTTCTAGCGCGCTCGAAGGAACTACTCATCACCTGAAAAACATAAGGGGTAGCACTCGTTAGCGAATAATGCTAAGTAACCCAATACTACTTGTGGAGTACAATATAATATAGATATAGGAAAACCATTTGAGATTTGGAATACATAATCTATAGTCTTTTAAAACGAGGAATAGGAATAACATAAGTCATAATGGAATCACTCTCAATCAAAGACCGACATCACACAGTCACTCAATAGATCAATAAGAATGACAGAAGCAACATATTCATCAACAAGATACATCATACGATAATCAATCAAGGAATAACATTAATCATATTCATAAGCAATGAAAGTCAATTATCACATTCAATGACACGTTCCAACCTTATGTCCTGTTCAACCTTGTATCACCAGGCCAACCTTATTTCAGATCCAACCTGTACCTCCAAGTGCCACCCTATATACCGAGTCCAACCTTATCCATCCTGGGGCCTTAGCCTCCCCGCCTGCATTTGCCAGCTTATCCACCAATCTCACAAACATACGCAATGTCATTATAATAGTACTAATCACGTGATAGTAAACCGCCAATCATGTGAGCAAAGCTCAGTAAAATTACCACCAATCTCACAGTAATACATAGTCATTGTCATGGAGGATTGAAGCTCATTAATAGCCCAATCAAGTATCAACTAACGTGTACAACATAAGTACAAGATCATATCAAAGGATTCAATCGATAAATCTCAATGGAAGACATGAACCAACTCATACTAGTATCAACAACAACATAGCTAGCATGTACATCAGAAGGATAAACATAACGGTTCAATCGAACATCAATGACTTCACATTAATCCAACGAAGCACAAAGTTGGACAACCACCCGCCACTCTCCCTTACAGGTACCAGCGGCTGGAACCACGAGTGTGCCCTCACTGCACCCGCGACACCCCCTGTAACACCCTGTATTACGGCCTTCAAACCTGGATTAATTATGGAATTAATCCCATAGATAAATAATTAAAAGGGACTTAAATTGGTTAGGACCCCCTTAATTAATTAATGTGGTCCACGGTCCATATTAAAGACTATGAGCCCGATAAGAATAAGAAAAATAGACCTTCTGCTACCCAGACTCTGATTAGGATTCATGATATTATAAAAAGGGGATTAGAAAGCTAGAGAACCCTCTCACCTCTCATAACACCGAATACATGAATCGCCCAGGAAACCTAGCCAAAGGGATTCCCCGCCACCAAGCCTAGGGAAATCAATCAGGAGGAAATATTGAGAAAGAACCTTAATAGCCAAGGGAGGATTAATTAAGGCTAAGAGGTAACCCATGTCTTTCAAAATCTATTTTCCTTGCTATATCTTGATTATTGGCTCCTTTGATAATTGTATGTGTGATTCTGTGATTGAGTCTTGATAGAGCTTTGCCTAGGGTTTATGTCGTGTTTATTTGATAATCTTGATGATCTTGATGTTGTGATGGATTACATGTGTGATCTTGCGTTTGAGAATTTCTAGAGCTTGTCGTTATGGTTTATTTGATGGGATCTTGGTGTTCTTGTAATTCTTGTTTTTCTTCCATGATTAGGAGTTGATTCTTGAATCTTGATATGTTAGGAGCATGTAATTAGGATTTAATTGTGTTCATTTCTTGGTTTAATTCTTGTGGTTCAAATCTATATTGTTGTTGTTGTGTATTGGGATGTATTCGGACTTGGTTTTGGGTTTAACGGATGAATTCCCGGGTGGGAAAAATGCCTAGATACCATTCTACTAGCGAGGGGTCGGTGGGGGGAATAACCCCCACCTGACCACCCGCCAGGTACAAACTACGGTATCAGCGGGCGGCCGGCGGGTGGACCACTACCCGCCGTGGACCCGCTGGTACATAGTACCACCCACCATCGGGTGGTTGACTAGCCGCCGTACACCCGATGATACGGGTGGGGTGGTGCGTTATTTAGTCTTGTAGTCTTGTTTCGTGTTTCCCCGTGCCCCCGTTGTGCTCTGTTTGATGTTTATGTGGCTCGTTTGATATTTCGGGTTCCGTTTTCGGAGTTATGAGTCGTGATTATTGCATGTGGGTTAAGTTATTATCCCGTTGACCTAGGACGAGATTTGTTTGATCCCGTGGGTGTCTTGTGGTTGTCTTGTTATCTTGGGAAGTAGAGTTTAGGCTGT